GCCTGCTTTTGCCCCCCCCCCGTGCATCCAAGCGTTGCTTACAACTTGTTTGTGCTGTCGTGTCGATTGCCGTCCCGTGCCAATCCTAAACACTCGATTCACCTTGTGTTGTGCGTGGTGGAACAAAAGCGGTTGGATGACACGCGAACGAGAGCTGAACGCCCACCATTTCTGCATCTGTTTGCCGGTACGGTTCTGGTTTCTGCGACTTTCTATAGACATTGTTAACGAAGTTGACTCTCGCAGCGCGTGTCTGGGTGTGAATGACAGCCGTAGGGTAGCACAGACTCACAAACAGTCAAGTAGCCAAATGCTGTTTTGCTGGTTTTTGTATTCATCGTGGGAACAAAGCTGGGTTGTTAAGCGCAGTTAAGTGTTATTTCAAGTGTACACAGTCAACATTTGCGGTGGGCGGCTGCAAATTAGGGTTCCGATCCAATGACATCGGGATCCAAAGAAGGAAGGTCGGCATTAGCGCCCACCACGTGACGCGATTGGAGGATTCAGTTTTTAGGAAATCACCGTTTTTATCAACGAGCCGAATATCTCCATAATTTGTGATAATCATAATCTTACGTCTGCTATTGCGTTTTGGTTCGAAATAATAATATCGTACATAATTCCGAAACGAATGACTAAATTCAGATTTTTCACATGGTCCGCAGTTGAGATATCCGTGACAGCTTTGGTGTACAGTCGCTGTTTCTCAAGATTGAAAAGCCGCAACTACGACTGTTTGGCTACACTTTGCAAATACTTTCAGAAGGGGAGGCGAAACAGCTTTTAATAGCTTGACCCATCGGCCAAAAATGACCTTGGACAAATCTGTCGAAGGATTCGACTCCAGACTTGGATTATCTCTTGCCGAAGTGCAAAACTGGCACAGAATCAGTATTACTGCCTGATGCTGCTGCCTATGCGATCTTAAACGATAGGAGTTCATCGGAACTGGCTGACAGACTGACCGCCCATGCAATGGATATGATAGACGCTGCAACCTAATTTGTGACAAAATCCCATTTAGTCATCATTTCAGGAGTTCTCTCGCTGCTTATTGCACTAAAGGCCTTAAACTGTAGGCTATCACTGTCATTAAGGCCACTATGAACTGAAGCTCCAACTGGAGAACCGGTGATAAGGGATGTAGTAGAACAGACATTCGAGTATCTATAAGCCTCGTTCTTTTGCAGAGCACTGTTCGCTGCCACCGCTGATGTCTTTCTATTTTCTGTTGCCCAAATGCCACGATGTCCACAAGCAACGCTCTCAGAAGCTGTCTCGCAAAAAAATTCGTTATAGAAAAAACAGGTTTGCCGAAAAGCAATCTAAAACATCTGTAGCTGTGAGGATCGAAAGTCAGTCTCGCTTTGAACTCTTGGCTATTTTAATATGACACATGCAAAACATGCCCAGAGTTCATCCTTAAGGTAAGAAACACTTCCGTCATCATATGTCAGTTCACCGCCGCAAAACGGCAGCAAATTCTTCAAAAGCATTTCATGCAGGAATGGAAAAGTCGAGAAACCAGTTAAGTTGGTGAAACGGATTGCTTGTGACCAACGTTTTTAGGTACCAAAGATTTGATTGTTCCACGGCGTCTGCTGTTTATTTTTATCTTGAATGACACTAGAGCCACAAACCTAACACTTCAATCAATTAGCTATTTATAATTAAAAAGAAAAATTAAATTTCGATTAAACATTTAAGAAAAGAAAAGTTTGCAAACATTCAGATGCGATATCCCTTCCGATCTATAAAAATAGGCATTGTGACATTATGAATGAATGCTTGAACAGTCGTAGAAATTTAAATTTACGTCACGGCAGAAGAATATTTCAAAATACTTGTCAAATTGAAATCAAATATTCTGCGCCAAATCGAAAGTCATAATATCGATCAGTCAAGTTTATTTGTTTGCTCATTTTATCCAAACATGCAGAGAACGCAGTCTTCAAAAATTTGATGCTACGCCATCTCATGTATTTATCAAACAACACAACACTACATATTCGAGTTAGGGCCGCGCCGTCTTCCAGGTCCTGTTACAACGACGTTAACGAAACGCCTCTTGTACTGCATTCGCCTCTTAGCTCGGCCGGTCTTCTTCTTCCTTTTCTCTTTCTTTTCAACCTAAATGAATTTTCGGTTAAAAGCAGCATCGAGAAATCAAACAAATCGTTCCAAAGAGCCTGCGGGAACTCATAATTTAAATTAATACAATTATCACTAAGATTAACGTTTGCATAAAAGTTCACCGCGGTATTCTGGATTAACTAGGAAATTGGTACTTGCTGATACTGCTGGTAAGAATAATAATTTTCTTTGACTTCTCACGATTTACACTCGTAGTCATACCGGTTTCTTGCCCTAGCAGTCAAAGAATCATATGAATAGATCAAATCTCCGTCGATACAGCATCTGCAGCCTATAGATGCCAAAAGGCATCACAGTAGGAACACCTAACTGATATACCTTAATCAATAAGCATATAAGCAGAGAATTGAATACGATATCAGGATCGAGATATATTAGTTCGTGTTCCACCGTGTTTACGCTCAGTTTTGCATCCATGCATCGTAGCAGCAGCAGTACCAAGAAACTGCAGCCGGTTTGAAGGGTCTCTTAGCGGACGGAAGAAAGGGAACGGTAAGACTTAGTTACGCAAATCAAAATCAAAGAGACAGGAAACAACAACATTCATAACATACCATTGTGAATTCTACACAGTTTACTTTCTAAAAGAAATTTCATACAGTTCCATCATAGTTATTAAATAAGAAACGCCCTCTCGAAATGCATTCTAAATCTTGGAAGGTAACTAACAGTCTCTTATCTTTAAATGACCCCTGATCAGTGGTTTTTTCCAGAAATACGGCAGATTTCTCATTTTCAGGAAGAGAAATTATAACACAAAAACTTACAACTTCTACGTATTTCTACAACACTGAAAAAAATGAAAACAGAAAAGAATGCTTTGTAACAAATGAACTTCCTGCTGTCCGTAAATGTTTCCCATGTGTTACCACTGGCATCTTTTACAATTAAATTACATCGCTGAGCATATGGTGCGAAGTTCATTTTCATTACGATATTATTAGAGATGAGTAATTCATTTTTTCTGAAGATTATGTCAACAACTAAGTGGTCAGTAGAACGCGCAGTCACCGGCACCTTGCAACATACTGCTATTCAAAACTGAATCATTGCGAAAACGAAATATATATTAAAGGCAACATAGGGCAGTTGTTCATTTTAAAAAGACTGTTTACGTCGAACATGCACGTACTAAAGCCAGTGACAACTCATTCAACGGGTGCCCGAATCTACGCTCAGATAGCATTGTTATAGCATCCTTTAAGCTGACAAACGACTAATTATGGTCAACTTTACTTAATACACGGTTTCGGTTAGTCAAAAACAGTTTAATTAATCTAATATCAAGTTATCGTTGAGTTTAACCTATGTAAGCTTGAGCTAAAGCAACAGCAACAAAAAACGTTGAAAAAAGAGAAAGGAAACAAATCAGCATTAAAGTTCTTTCATTAGTTGTGCACGCTGATCTTCCATGATCTCTTTGCTACATGGTAATCCACTTTTTCAAAACATCTGAATTGGTTTCTACCAGAGAACATTACATTTACCATCGAATTTGATGAAACTTAAAAAGAAAACCAACCATTTCTACAAATATTGTTCTACGCATATGTCCAACATTGCATTTGAAGTAAATAACAGCTAATATTTGACAAATAACAACAATAATAATCAAGGTAGGTAGGCCAGGTAGTAAAGAGTAAAATTCTATTTACGTAACAAACTATCTTTGGTATTAATCAGAGTTTAAACTGTTTACTGCCAGATATCTTCCAACTAACCAGTTCAGATGAACAAATCAATTTGAATTTTTTATAAAAGGAAATTCCAAATCAATACTGAAAACAATTAGTAAAGTACAGAAAAAACTGTGCAACCTCCGATGTGTGAGCGAACAGTCAAAACGAAATCAGCAATAACTCGCAACTGGCATTCAGCATTTCACAGGTAACCTAAGGTAAAAAGCAAAAAAAATACGAACCTTCGGAGTCTGTCCTCGAACTTTGCCAGCTCGAGCTAGAGAACCGTGCACTTTACCGCCGAGCAACTTTCCACTGACATCTATGGTGGAATAAGCCACCAATCCAAGGTTCGCCAAAATATCATCATCTTTGATCAGGGGTCTGCTTTCAAACAAAACTAGCTGGGACTCAGGATCAATGTTTGAAATTTGGCATATTCGTTGCTAAATTTTAAGGTCAAGGCATGGAAAACGAAAACACAAAGGTTCTTTATTGGATTATACCTTCAAATCGCCCACGGTGCTCTCCGCAGTTACTTCCAAGGTAAAAATATTTTCCAGTCCTCTGACGAACAGCTGCATTTTTCCACAAAGAGTTTACAAGCCGAGAAGCTATAATACAGTTTGCATTGCAAATTAAAATCACGCTGAACTAATGCACTTCCCTTCTGATACAGTACACGTAGACAGTCAGCAATACAAAGTAACTATTAAACCTTTCCAAACATATCATTAAAAAGAAATAACGAAAGTGCACTAAACTAATATTGTAATGAACAAAGTAAATTTTTAATCTGCATTAAATTTAAAATGAGTACCTAAGTTACGTAAACCGACTGTTCTAACTGAATACAGCTTCAACGTTTGCGCTACGACAATCACGGATGTATCGTACAGTATGCTATATTGAATTAAAAGGTATGCTTTTAACCTGAAAATCCTTGTCAATAAATACTGAAAGCAACCTAGTTGTAAAGTTATCGTTGTAACCAAAAATCTTATCTAAGTATTGCTAGAATAGGATCTTTCTGGTGTTTCACTTATATTCGTGAACAAACCCAATGTTGTAATAAAGTTATATGAACTTAGAGTTGTTAACGACAGAAATATTGCATAAGCATTCGACCACCGTCACGAATATGATTAGTTGACAATATTGCTGGTAGAAGATTATGAAATTCCGTTTGTTTACCTGCTTAGATTTGAAAGCACAAAAAATAATTCCAAATTAATGCACTTATTAATGCATATTGAGTGTTCCTCGCTGCTGGTCATCTGCCGCGTTCTAGATTTGCAAATGGAGAGGGCGACTTCAAGACATGGAGATTAGCTGCCATATATGAGCACTCCGAAAAGCAGCTGCCAAAAAACCAAGGTTTACATGAGTTCAAGCTCGATAAGGTTGTTCATAAGATAAAAAAGACTGTCCAATGACAGCCTCATGTCGAGGCGAAGACTATCCGCTCTTTTGAACGATTATGACCGCCAATCTCGACACCACCTTTCCATACGACAGCGGTTTGTTACATGCTAGAAGAAAAAGCTTCCATGACTTGATAAAATTTTAGAACCCGTATGTACGAAACTACCCAGGCAACTATCAGGTCTGCCAGCGACTGGGTGATCTGCATGTACTATTGAAAGAGAAATGAATTTCGTGTAGTGCCCTTCAACTCTCTCGAAGCGCTCCACCTCGGCGATTCGATATTTGACTAGAGAAAGGCTGTTAAATATTTCAGGTGAACTAGCGCTATCTGGTAAGAGGGCCCGCATTTCTTTCTTCGTTTGACTTACAGCTGTAGAACACTGGCGAGGGCAGAACGTCGAATCAAGTAATGCAAGGAAGGTCAAGTATGTCCCGTGATGTCCTTGGCCATTGCAAGGCTCTACACCGGAAGACGATAATTGGCATCTGGAAAGACGCTGTTCGATTTGATAGGATTATGAGGAGAAGACAGCCTGAAAGTTTTATGAGGAGTTGGATTAGTGTTCAGCGAAAAAAGGTTTTCAAAAATCGTTTCCTTCCACGTAAAATCAACAAAATTGAGCGCGCCGTGCTCCAGCTGAGCAGCTGGTGACAATGGCAGAAATGAAGCATCTGTATGTTGGCAACACCTTGTCAAAGAAAAAGACTACAAGAGGGTGAAGATAGTTCCCGCCCAACGTGCTGACGCCCACAAGATCGATGTTTTCATGTTCGATGAACGCCAAATCAACTGAGACGAGGCAGTAATGCAATCATTAACACCAGCAGTAACTACAGACTGATGCGAACCAGGTTAACCTGTGAGATGAAGTTCGTTGAAACACTGAGGCGCTGCACAAATTCGGTCGAGGTGTGGCATCAAAGAGAGTGAAAGGAAGGAACTAAAAAGAAACGACGAGTTTGCTAGGGAATTTGAAGAAAGTGAAGAAAGGTGGGCCGACAGGATGAGTCTCTTCTCTACAAAGTCATTAGGTAAAAACTAAAGGGGGATTTCAAGAGCTTTAGTTTCCAAAATTGAGAAGACAGCTGAAGTAGCAGTATGCAGTAGCTTCACCCAAGTACGAGAGTTTTAACACAGCATCAATAGACCATCATCAAGTTGAACAACGAGAATTGCGCATTAGCATGTGACAGAGCTGAGATACAATCTCTCTGCAAGAACTAATACACCCAGCTCTATGCGTCAATGGGCAATGGACAGATTTTTGATTTGCTCGAGAAGTAGCAGTGCCAAAGGTTTAAATATATTGGTTAAGTAGATTTTATTGTAGTGTAATAATGTAAATGGCTAGGCACGGGTTGCGATAAACAAGTTCCGCTCGGCAACCATGAATTAAACATGACCGCGCGACGTGCGATAAACTTTCACTCAGTTGATGAATAGTTTAACTCGATCATGACAGGCCACATCATAACATTTCCGGGTGATGAATGGTACTGCTCAGTTCCTAGCGTATCATCCCCTATGAATCGATGGCACGTATCGGCCACGATGGCTTGCATCTGTATTACGTCCGGTCCGATTTATCAGTCGCATGGCCTTGTTATAACGATTTCAATTTATTGTTGGTGAATGGCAGTGGTCGGCCATGACCTGCACACTTCTAAACCGTGCTGAGTGGTGCACTCGGATTGGTAATTAAGAAATAGTGTAAAATAGCAATTACGGCTTTGTTGGATAAATAAATATGCTTGGCGTGCAGGTTATTTAATGAATAAAGCTTTTGCCAGTACGCTGAGGTCCAAAAATGGATACTGATCTTCGAGGATTTGACTGAATATACTTTCACTGTACCAGACCAGTTTGACGGGCTGTCACAACATGTTCGTACTGTAGCACTTTGGCATCATATCTCATGAATTTTGACTCGCTAGTCGACACTGACTATATTAGTTGACGAAGTTCAGTCTCCATACGACTGAACTCATTCGGAGGCAATTTTACCAGTTTACGTTGTACACCAAAGTGACTCATTGGATGCCGATACGTGACACGACCTTCATGTATCATCGGCAACTAGTAGATGATTGAACTCTGTACAGTATTAACGTGTGCGCTGAATTTTTTCTATCCCATTGTCTCTCACTTCAGGGCATCCCACAAGCTTCATCGATTACATCTCATCGTTAGTGTTCAGGGCAATTTGCTAGTTTTGCTGATAACGCTGTCTGTTGAATTTCAGTGCCTTCAATAATCATCAAAATGACTGTGTTGGCAAATTTTTGCAAAATGCTGGCAGATATCTAGCTGCAGCAGACCATACATGCGGACAGTTTTCTTTCATAGGCATAAGTGGGTCCGAGCTGAAAGCTGTTTATTGTTTTTGAGCGTAGTGATTAAATTTCTAGAATAAAATCCACGTCTTTATAAAAGTTGATTTGCTCGATGCACCGCTTTAAACACAACGATCAATTTTTAAAAGTAATTAAATGGCAGCGAAAGAAGTCATCAACAAAAATAACAACACTGCGAATTAAACAATTTTCACTGCGACAGCGACGCAGACCAATGTATGACGGTTTTGATCTAGCAACTTTCCTTTTACCTGTACGCTTACCTAAAAACAGCCTTGAATTGTATGAGTGATCGATCAATTACATTAGCGAATTCTGTAAGTTCTCACCCTAGGATAGAGAAAGGCGATTTTTACTTGTTGACTTATGGTGACGGTGACATTCGGTTGTAAAGGGCAAGTGAGCCCTGAATTTTGACAGCCATTTCGGCTAGTGACTGGCAGCAGAAACGGAATCCCCTTGAAAACGGATATCATGCCGACCCGAATCCTGGTCACCTCGATCTCTAAAAGAGTCTAATAACGTCTGTCTGTCGCTAGAGCACCAAAAATGCCTAATTCCTGAACCCTTACCAGGGGTGAAGGTGACGTTCGCCTCCACAACGCTGTTCTTCTTCAGCGAACAGCACGACGCGTTGTCGCACGGAGTTAGTTGTACACTAACGACTTTCGCTTTCGTCGAACCTGAACAGAAAAGCCTAGAGGCAAAACACTTTGCATTGCGTCTCAAGAACAAACGACAAACCGCAGTCTGTGAAATCGACCGTCGTCGTAACCACCAGGACTATCAGCAGGCAACTGGCGA